TGGAGGTTTCTTCCTGTTAAAAGGGAGTTTTTCCTCTCCACTGTCACTACAAGCATGCTTAGTGTGAGGGATTGAATTATTCAAAGCTGTAAGGGAGGGAATAAGTTGTTCACACCATGTTGAGTCCAGAGAGAATTTGAGGATGAATCCCAATGAGAAAATGGCAGCAGAAGCATTGGGCTTTATCTCACTACATTGCACACCTCCAGTCTTCACCCGAGATGAAATCTTGCGGTCTGTTTGCCATAAACACCCCCAGATGATCTTCTGTGATATTTTTTTTGCAGCACCCAACAGTAATTTGTATTGATCTGTTTTGGCCGTAGAGGTGGATAGGATTCAGACAGCCTTTCCAATGAGATCTTGAGCTAAAATCCAGCTGAGACAAGTGTAGCATTCCAGTGCTGTTCTGTTATTTCTTTCTGCTTGAGGGTATATTTATCTTTCCATTTGCAAATTCCACATACTTACATCGACATGTAGCCTTTTAGGAAGTATTGTTTTCATGCATGGTTTCTGACATGTCAATCAGAGATCTGGCCCTCCAGTGTAGGGGATGAAATGTTTTAATTTCCAAATAGAAAACAAAAAGGTTTACTTTTGAGATAAAGAATCTGACATGTAGAGCTTCACCTAAACAGGTTTAAATGACATTTCTTCACTGAAAACACAAACTTCATTTTCAGTTGAAGGGTAGAGCAGAAAGCTAAGAGTCACTGGAGACTTATTTATGCTTGTTAACACTTCTCCCACTTCAAACACAATAAAGATGAATCCTGGTCCAAATGTCCCTGCCTGAGGAAGGGTCACTGTGACTTTCACAAACTGTTTCTCACTTTTCCCCGACAAAGGCATAAGTTAAACCCCTTTCCAATCCCGACTAAGCTCCGGTGTTACTTCTGCGGCCAGGCTTGATTGACAGTAGTTGATACAAACAAAGCGGAGGCTTGACATAGACGTCTTAGTGAATAAAGCTTGACTGTGAGGCGAGCTATCCCGCAGAGCTCCTTACGGAGGATATGATACTATGGAGCCAGTCGACCCTTCCAAGTCATAATATCAGCAAGATCCTCAGAAACTGAGGCAAAGGGGCCGTGATGGGCCTGTTCGGAGCCAAAGCAGTCAGCTGGGGGTGGGGTGAAAACAAGGGCTTTGGTTTCACATTTTACTGGGCTATAATTAGACGAGGAAGGAGGGGTGGACTAGAAAATGAATGAGGATGCTAAGAAATAGCAGGACACACCTTGCATACATATCCCACATTGATTTGAATGTTCTTTCACATTAGAAAGCTTTGTTTTGGGTTCCATCTCTGGCAAATATCACAAGCTACTCCATTTAGATCAGGGGTATTAAACATTTTCCAGGCCGAGGACCCCCAAACTGTTGGAGAGATGGAGCGGGGACCCCCTAATTATATATATTGTATGAAATTGTGTTATATCAAACTGATCCTAACGTAATGTAAAGAAAGTAATTTCTCCCTGGGTGTCATGATTTTACTAAAGTTCAGACCCAAATGCAGAAGACCAAACAGGAAGACCAGGGAAAAGGTTTAAAAGGTTTTATTGAAGGGATAATTCAGAGAGAAGCGTTGCTCTGAACACTGCTCAACCGGAACTGAAAAGTGAGGGGAAGACACAGCGGTTAGTTCAGGCTCAGTGGGAAATTTGACTCGTGAACTTGGAGAAGAGGATTTGGTTACTGACTCACGTTTCCAGAGAAGTTGTTGAATCCTTGACTTCAGTCTGTATGCTGTAGTTCCAGTGTTTGTCTGATTCAATGGAGGGCGGAACAGGGTTTACCCAGAATGCGGTTGTTAGTAGGTGAACGGAGAAAGACTGACTGCCACTCAGAGTTTCTGCGGTACTTGAACGGGTCTTGGTGGAGATGAATCCCTTTCTCAGTGTGAAGCTCAAACGATCTCTTGAGGAAAGTGGATCCAAACCTCCTGTTTTAACCCCAGCTCAGTTTGAAGCTCAGTTGATCCTTCCAGGGAGAGAAGGTCAGAAAAATCCAGTTAGCACGATGACTTCCTGCCGAGAGGCAAAAGACAAACAATGTTAAAACTCCGGTCTTTATACAGTGGTCCAGCAAAGTACTTTGAGAGACATAGGCAGGTATGGGGCATTGCAGGCTAACAAAAGAAGCCACTCTATAAAACCTCAAATTTAACGCTATTTCTGACATTTTGAATTGAAAAGGCTTCCTGGATGGGAAGCAAAACATCTTCAAACTTGGAAACAAAGTCCAGTGGATTGTTTTTTCTTTTTATTTTTTTTAAATGACTTTGATGACTAAGTAATCCTCACCAGCATAGTCTCTGTCTTGCCTAGTCTACCTATTTTTCTCATCCAGAGGCAGCAGATTGTTCATCTGTAACAAGTGAGGCTAAACCCCCCACACCACAGCTTTAGCAGAGTGAGTTCACTCAGATCATCTGTCTGCTGGATGCACCCAGCCTCCCCTGTTAGCTCTCGATGTGTCGATGCACATTGGCGCAGTATTAAAGACATCCAAAGCATGCTGGTGATATCGAACTATCAACCATTACAACCTGAACTCCCAGTAGGCTCCTGGAAACCACCTCACCCCGCACCAGTGGGAGTATGTGCTTCCAATCATTCTTCTCAGTAATGAATACCTGAAATATTTTGCAGTTGTAACTCTCTCTCCCCCCGACTCTTGTCCCTTCTGTTTACAGTACACAGCAGGCAGGGAATCTGTACGATGGCAAAGCTTGGAAGAGGCCTTTTTTTTCCCCCCTTAGAGATTTCACAAGAGGTCGGTGGGGGGGCTCTCACATCGAGCTGTCATTTGTGGCTAATGAAAATCTTGCTCTGTGGAGGGATCCTGCTAAAGCTGCTAAAGGCCTGTCCTAACCAGGGGATTAGTCCTGTAACCCTGGGGGAGTTCAATTTCAGCCGCAGCATAAGTCATCTCAGCTGAGCGCCAGCATTGATAAATGGCTCCATACTGACGAGTGTACACCATCAAAGGTTGCTGCGGGGAGGGAATCGTTATCCGTTCAGACTGACATAATACCATTCTCTAAAAGCAACAGGATGTTCTGCATCTTTACCCATGTTTAAGTTCAATGTCTTTTCATTTTGGAGTATCTTTGTAAGAATATAATACTGAGAACATCTTTCAAACTAATCAATTAATTCCTTTAATTGAACAATACCTCCTGTTAGCTCTCTTTCTCTCTATTCATAATGTTAGTCAGCATTTATGTCCTATAAACACGTTACTTTCCTATTGAATTTTAAATCCCCAGGCAAGGCAAGGCAAGGCAAATTCATTTGTATAGCACAATTTAGTACAAAGACAATGCAAAGTGCTTTACATGATTAAAATATAGGAAAAT